CTTGTGAGAGCACCGTTGATTCCCGATGTGGCCTTTGTGGAGTTGCCTCCCATGAAGTTGTTCTTGTCGAGGAGAACGACATTTCCACCAGCGAGGTAGATGGTGTGAGCAGCGCTCAAGCCGGACACTGCCGTCGTGGTTAGCCATGCGCGTGACGGTGTATGATGCGGTGATGCTTACGGCCAGCGCCAACAACAATGACTCTCTCGGGCATGGTGATGGATGCGGTTGAAGAGGGAAGGGGAGAAAAGACGGGGTATGGAGAGAGAGCAGATGAAGGCGAAAAGTCTGGGGATCGGCTTCTGCTTTGTATGGATGCAACGGATGGCTGCTCGGCTTCCGTCTAGCACTTGGAGCGCAACTTGTGCCTCGGAAGTGGAGAATGCGCTAACCCGCATGCACTTCCAAGGTTGTCGCCGCGCGGGCCAATCACGCGGCGGCGGTTTGTCTGCTGGCAATGCGTGAGCCTCACCAAGCCCGGCCTGCTCTGCGCTGCTGATGTGAATATTGAGCAACGGTCCAGCTGTTGCATGTGAAGACGCTCGTCGCCGTCAGCGCCCACATGACTTGGGTACGCGCAGCGTGGTGGGCGGCTGGCGGTTGGCTGACCTCTCCATCGGACGGAACGCCGAGGAGTTGGGGCTTGCTGGGAAACCTGGGGCAAGTCACGCGTGGGAACGCGCAACCGTGGAACTCGCCGTTGGCATGTGAAGGCTAGAGCACATGTCAAGCCTAGCCACAATAGTAAATCTGGAACATCGTAGACGCAATACATGTGCTGCGCGACTTCTTCGTCTTCAACTCTTGCAATGTTCCAAGGTTGGTTGATGGTTCAGCTCCACGATGCTCGTTATGGCAAATCATCCCGCGCAGGCATCATAGCCCGATCGGTCTTTGCTCGCACGACCGCGACAGTCAGCGGGCGATATTGCCGTCTTCGGAACTGACTCTCGCTCCAAAACCATGTCGGACCATCATCTTACACCGACTTCCCAAGCTGCTCCGATGTCAAGGTATAAGACTCTGCATTCAAGATCAATCGTGGTCAAACTGTTCGGGTTTATATCTTTCGGGGTAGCTGTTGCCGATGCGACCAGGTACATCTCGGTGCATCTCGCGCGAGTCGACGTTGAGGACCGAACAAGACATCCGTTATACAATATATTACAAGCTGCTCATGGGCACTCAATTATCTACAAGGTTGGCACTACAAAGTCGAGAGTCCCCAGAATCTATATACCCTCCTCAAACCAGACGTTCATCGCCTCCACCACCGCATCTTCACTCCCATACTGCTTGAGGAGCTTCTTGACAAACGTACGCTCCTCGCCGTTGTTCATGTTGCGGCGGAACGTGTCTTCGCCAAAGAACACCATGCTGGGGAAGAACCTCAGATTTGACAGATCGAGGTCTTCTTTTGCCTTTCCATCCTCCCAGCTTGCAAAGGCCTTTTTGCAGCCGGTAAACTTCCTTATTTTGCCCCGTAGGGTCTTTTCCATGGCCCATCCCAGGCAGACAAAGTACTGGAGTGGTATCATTGCCGAAGCAACTTTCCAATTGGTGATGCGCACCACGATCTTGATGTCGGGGTTTGCTTTGGCGTATTCGAAGATGGCTTGACGCCGGCGATTCTCTATCATGAATTCACCTTGGTGAATGATCGCTATCTCGATGCCGCATTTGATTTGCCTCAATCGGAGGTCTTTGTTGGTGTGCATTCGCAGAAAGATTTCGCTTTCCACCTTGATCTTGTGCATCTTGATCTCCAGCCACTTTGTCTCCGCGCGCAGGATCTTGCAAACCGCGTTCAAAGGGTTTGCGGAAACCGCTCCACGGAGCTTTGGAGAGGTCACAATATGGTCATTGTGATCGAGAAACCATACGAAACCAGTTTCTGTCTCGCAAGCGAGACTTGCGATGCGGTTGCGGATCTCTGCTGGGAGCTTCAGCAGCGGGGACTGCGCGTCATTTCGTTCAATGCTATATCAATGTTAGTATTGTAGTTAAATTGATTGTAGGCATGTACTTACATCTTCTTGGTCTCGCCGGGCGTATCCTCCAGGCTCAGGACCCCGTTCTCCTGCAGCTTTGGTGCCGCCATCGTAGTCGGCAAGCTCACGATTCCGTTGTCTTGGAGCGCCGGCGGTGCCATTGTAGTCGGCAGATGGTGGTATGGTATCGACAAGAAGTGAGTATAGGGTACGTTGTCGGTGCCTGGGTGCGACAGAAAAGTACGAAGCTGCGACAGACGAGACAGAATATCTTCCTGGGTGCGACAAGATACTACGTGGCTGAGGAAATAACATGATGTCACCGCAAACGGGCGAGATGAGATTTCAAAGTGAAGGTGAAAGTGAGACGCGAGCGTCAACTCACCGCTACTGGAACTTTCCTCAATCATTGGGAGAGCTCCTCCCTCTCGCATCTTCACTCTCACGCCATCTTCTCAACCATGCCGGCACTCCCAGCATCCACTCACGTATCACTGGCGCCCCTCAATCTTCCTGACTGGCCGCTCTTCCTGATCATCATCGGTGTCCTCATCATCCTTCTCTTCCAGATCATTCTCGTCATCGCCTTTCTCCGTTGGTCCAACGTATACAGCAAAGCGCGGTGGAGGCGCCTTCGACAACGCGGCGTTGTCATTATCGACGGACCGGCGCTCATCTGGACGAATCCAATACCACCTGGGCCAACAGTCTCGACCTTCAACTTACGGCAGACGCTTCGGACGTCAGAAGAGCGGGTGACTCAGGAAGGCACTGTTGCTACGACAAGGTCCAGTTAGGACATCGTCTGAACCGGCGCGGCGCCATCCTCTACGCAACTACCACAAGTCAGCATCCAGAGCAAACGACAGCAAAACGCCATGAGTCTCTTCGAACCCAAATCGTCGCCTGTCACAGAAGTCGCGAAACAGCAGGCAACTACCTCCGCCACCATCATCATCTTCATCGTCATCTCCGCAATCGGTTCGTCGGCCGTCGTAGGGTTCGTCCTGTTCGTGGCATGGTACAGAGTAAAGAAGAGAAGGGAACAACACCAGGCGGCTGCCGAGCTGGTGGAGCTTTCTGTCATTGAAGCCGTTCTACAGGCATCTCCGGCGCGACAACATTAAGAGGTTGGGGCGGCGCACTGAGATACGTTGTCATATGCAGATGACATGAATCCGGCGTTGGGGCTGATGAAGATACAAAGGAAGTGATAGACGAAAAGGGAAGAGAGGAAGCTGGATGGTCGGACTGTACCTGCTTTCCTTGTGACATGATCTTCCAAGATCGAGTGTAGCAACCTAAGAAATGATACTGTAACTTGAACGGTCTACTTCCCTTCTAACGCCAGTGAGATCTTGAGCCCAAGTTAATCGAACGCGTCCCGTCGCATGAGTCGCGTAGTCTGAAAGCCGTGTCACTATACCAAGATTGTAGTAGCGGCCCCTCCTTCCTGGTAAGCTCGTGACAGCGCGATAGCGGTCAAACGTTGATACAAGCAGTAGCGCGTTCCGCGTGGCGAAGCTCATGGGATCAGAATGAGGAAAGCGTAAGCCGGAGCGGGAATTCAGTGCGGGGTTTCTCCTCAGGGCGCTGCCTTTCTCGTACATTTAATACTCCTTCCTCTTCTCCTCTTCTCGTCTACAACCTGATCCCATTCAGTTTCCACTCGATCCACCGATTACTCGAATACCCACATCGGTCAGCCACTACCATGTCGTCCCAGAACACATCCAACTCTTCCGGCTCCGGCTCGGCTTCCTCTGGCAATACCGGCAGCGGAGGCTACACCACAACCAGCTCCGGTACCAACAGCCAGGTATGATCTTACTTCTTCGTTTTTTATACGCCTGACTGAGACTCTTTCGTAGGGAAACCACTACTGCTCCCGCGACTATGGCTCCAGCGCCTCGAACCCCAACTCTTACCACTACTCCAACACCGATGGCTCGTACTACTACAGCAACCCCAACGTACGTCAGAATTGTCCAACATAGATGGACTCTCGCTAATTCACTTCCAGGGCTCGACCTACTACAACGATGGCCAGGGCGGCGTAAGGTACAATTCTGGCAAATAGACTGCGCGTAGCTTGTCTGTTGTTACTCCAATCTTGGCCGAGGTCCAATCGTGAGGGGTTCGTGCTGTTCCCTGAAGTTGCGAAGGGAATATGACTGGCGTATCGTTATACCGGAGACGAGATGAAATGAACGGGTGTGCCTCGCCATACCCGTTGTATGCTTTCCCTTGTGATACCTTCTCATACCCGGGCATGTAAGCAGCTTTCATTCTTGACCTACACTGCCGTAGAGACTCATCCCGCTATACAAATGACATTGCCTAGCATCCTTTAACACACTTCCACCTTCTAATATTGCTTAACATTAAACCCTTTGCGGTCTAGATACGTTTCAGACTATACCTAGGTATTATCTACTCTTTGTATCCTTAGCAAATACCTCTTAGGTTAACTTAACACTTTACTACGCAGTTGGTAGCACGATTGTAGTCCTATCGATCTGTGATCGTTATGCGGCGATGTGGTGGTCTCCTTCATAAATGTACGTGATGCTGTGAGTCAGCAGAGTTCAGTTGTGTAGACACATTTATAGGTAGCATGAGTGCGGAGTGAGGGGTCCCGTTAGTACCTGCGTCATCCCGAGGTCGCCCGCTGCTGGCATGAACCACGCGCACGACACCCATCACACTTCTGACATCCACAGGCAGCGCATCGCATACTTTGGGATAGGTTCCTTGCCTTCTTAAATGCGCGACCACTGGAAAAGCTGCTTACTTGCACAGTCGTATCGTGCTGTGTGATTGCTATCTGCTTCGACACAGGCATCTTCACAACCTTCAATTCCGCAAATGAATGTGAGGAACGAAGACACTGGTCTTTTTCCAAGGTCGCGAAGAGGAGAATTAGCCCTAAGGCAGTCGTATTATTCAAATGCAAATATGAATATCGGCTAGAAAACGGACTCATCATTATCGAGCAACACGCTCGTCCTAATTGCTCGTTATTTGCGCCTGGCTGCCAAAGGACTCCCGTTCATCCAGCTCGATATCGCTGTCTGTCCTTATCCACCCTTTGCTCTCAATCCGAGTGCTAACGCGTATCCTGCTTTGCATTCTACTTTTGTTGGACTGACCGTTCGATCCCGAGGCGAAGTTACTTCGGCTGTTGGAATACTGCGTCGAGGGGAGGCGAAGAATGCCACCGACGAGGGGCTTGAGCGATGGCGCACATGCGGCTATGATTCCGACGTTCACTTGGAGGAAGCCCCAGAATTGGATGTCGTTTGTGCTGGCATACTGTTAGCAAACATCCATACTGGTTCAAGTATAGACATAGAGACATACAATGACTGGTCGGGGTCGCCTCTCTTTGTGTTCTGGACAACGGCCTTGACGATGCCCATGGCCACCGCTCTTGACTTGGGTTAGCTTTTGTGCCTCAACTCAAGTCTCTCTCTTCTCAATGCCGGGAAACTTACGTGTAGCCCAAGCTCAGAACAAAGATGAGGTACATGCGAGTTTTCTGCTTCATCTGCAACCCCATAATGATGGGGATAGGGATGGTTGCAAAGCAGATATCCGTAAACATGTTGCAGCCTGCGTACGATCTGGTCAGCCACCGAGTATAGTAAGTGTGGTGAAGGACTGATTTACTCGTGTTCATCAGCGCGAAGCCCTTGTGAATTTTCACAGGCACGCAAGTTGGCTTGAGGTCCTTATTCCAGAAGCCGGCGATAGGTTTGCACACGGCAGCCCATTCACTCCAAGATACGAGTGTGTAGAGACAGACGAATGCTGACAATGCTTAGTAGACGTAACTAATTCGCTTTTCAAAGCACCATGGGCTTACCGATAAGCGACCAGAGTATCCTGTTGTATAACGTTGGAACACCCAAGCGAAGGAGTGAGAACCCGACGGACAGCTTGAGGAAGGCCATACCACCAATACTGGAGACAAGAGCTTGTATGAAGGTCAACTTCAGGTACTCTTGGTGATCTGACTTCTCGAGAGTGTCGGTGTGACGACCTAAGCCATGCTGGCCAGCTAGTATGTAGGTCACCATTCCACCAAGAAATACACAAGTCTAATCCACGCAGTTAGGGAAGCGTTCAGACTTTATTCATGATAGTTTCTCACCGCTGCCGCTAGTATGAGGGCATCGTCTTTGCCAAACGCCTTCACGACGATGAAGCGGGCATACATGCGCATCCCAACAAAGGTCAGTGCGATGACATGGAAAGTCGCGGTAACGCCGAGGAGGTATCCTAGATTACTCTCTGCTGCACGCACCAGGTCGGTATTCTTTGGTGCCATAGTAACGGCAAAGATGAGGGTCTAGCAAAATGGAGTCGTAGGGAGGAGACATAAGTGTCATGCATCCTGTCGAAACCAAGGATATGTTGTGTTACACGCCCCCTTCCTACATTTCATGCCCAGCAGAATACGGAGCTCTCTGCAACGACCTGAAAGCACGGTAGCAGTGTTCTAGAAGGTGACATGGCCTCGTTTGTTGGTTCGTCAGCCTGCTTACCATGAGATGTGGCATCCTTGTGTGCCAATTTCTTGGAGAATCCTTCCTGCGCTTTGCTTTTTCTTGAAACGACTGTATATTGCCCATATTGCATGGCAAAGAGACGGCATCGCCTGCATGCAGCCCGCACCTGCATCTACTTTCAGCATGCACCGGTCCCAGATGCGTTCGCGCACTAAGTAATCGGGCCGAAGGGTAGGATTCCATCGCAGAAGAGCCAGCCCAGCGCAACGGTTCGACGGGTCGACGGGTGGCTAATGGTCCGCTGCGCGCATGAATGGTCTCAACTTGCAGCGGAAACCGAGCTCGCTTCAGTGGTAAACAAGCCGACATGTTGGTTCTCGGGGGTGGCAATACGAGAAGGATCAGTTTAGGCTGAATAGGCAAAGGCAGAGCTGGAAGCCTTTGCGATTTGTTACTTGATCGCCAATGGGCTTGTTTGGTGACATTGCGTGGGATATGAAAATGTCTCTGGGTCTAAAGGCTTCTGGTATAAAGCGGCGCAGTCATGGGAGTGAGCCGGTTGTTCGTGGGGCGGCAGGTACTGGGGATCGTTTACCACTGTGAAGGGCTCTTTCCCGTCTCCGTCCCGTCTCGCATTCACCGCAGGAAGGCGCCACTCCTACGCAACCCTTTGACGATCTCATGCCGCAGTCAGATATAGTCACATGGTGTGGGACGGCGTTCCATTGGTCGATAGCCAACCTTTCGCCTTTGTATGCATATGTCATTTCGATCCAACACAATCCCACAGATCCCAGATCTTAGCAGTGCCAAGTTTGCTTCAGGAGCCCTTAGATCACCCAGCTAAACGGTCGACAGATGATCCTTCTGCATCGCATCGCGCGAAGTTATCACGACCAAAAACAGTCCCCGTCGTGACAGCCGTTTACTCGCCACTCTAAGCGAATAATGGGCGACCACACACAGTGCCGTGCTCTGGAAGCATGCACTCCCATCGCCCTGACATGGTATAATCTTGGCAGCATAAAATTCCGCATGGTAATATCCCACGACGAGCGCTACCAGCCGTTCAGTCGCTACTCCGAGATCAAAGACGTACCTAGGGAGGCCGTGGGCTAGCCTGCACCGCGTTTCCAGTACAAGCTATGGCCCCATAGCAGGACACTCTTGGGCTAAAGTACGAGGAGAATGCAGGCTTTCATTAGGCGCGCCTATACTCTAAGCCGCGTTGATCGATTTATTCATCTGGACTCGCTGCAGAGCCGCTTCTTCTAATATAGGTCCTTGGAAATCGGAAGTACGCTTGCGGCGAAGGCCTTGCATGAACAAGGGTTGCCTTCGCATTGTATATAACCGTCGATTTGGATTCAGATCTTACTTCCTTAAATCGCCAGACCTTGCACATAGCGATCTCATCACCATCACCATGCGTCTGTTACAAGCTGTAACCGCCGTGCAGCTGTTGGCTGTAAGCCTTGTGGCTGCGGTCCCCTTTGACTCGCCCTCAACTCCAGTTATCGATATAGACCCTGCAGTAGACCCTCTCGAGGCTCTCGCCCAACTGCAGCAGAGCGCATACGAAACGCTTGAACAAAATGAGAGTGTTTCAAAAAGGGCCCCCAAGGGTTGTTCTTTGGCGAAGACAACCATCCGGAGGGACTGGTAAGCTTACCACGCGCATGAATTGGTGCTGGCTAACCTCGACAAGGGATCACCTGAGCAAATCAGATCGGAAAGCGTACATCAAAGCTGTCCAATGTCTGCGAACTTTGCCAGCCAAGTCCGACAAATCGTGGGCTTCAGCAGCGAAGACGCGCTTTGACGACTATGTCGCCATCCACGTGAACCAGACCCTTGGTATTCATGGCAATGGTCTCTTCCTCACTTGGCACCGCTACTTTGTTTGGTCCTACGAGCAAGCCCTCCGAAACGAATGTGGCTACAAGGGCTATCAACCGGTCAGTACCAGACACTTCGAGTGACTCTTACATGTCTAACTTCTCTAGTACTGGAACTGGTTCGCACATACCGACAATATATACAAGTCCCCTGTCTTCGACGGAAGTGACACCAGTTTGGGTGGCGATGGCGAGTTCTTCGCGCACAACGGCAGTCTTGCCGGTGCCCGAACAATCTCCATCCCCTCTGGAAAAGGAGGCGGATGTGTCAAGAGCGGCCCTTTCAAGAAGTGAGACCGTCGCATAACCCAATCCTTACGGAAAGCTAACAAAGCACAGCACGGTGGCGAACATTGGTCCGATTTCTCCTGGTATGCAAGGCTTCCCCGATTTGGGCATCGACCCCAACGACTACAATCCTCATTGCCTGCGCCGAGACATCAGTCCTTACATTCCCAAGAAGTGGTTCACTACGGCGAACTTACTGAATGTAACCATTGGAAGAGCTTCTCAGACGCATCGCGACTTCTGGGTCGAAATCCAAGGTCGCTACCCAGACGGCTTCCTCGGTCTACACACATCAGGCCACTACACCATGGGCGGCGACGGAACTGATCTCTACTCCTCTGTGAACGACCCCGTCTTTTGGCTCCACCACGCTATGCTTGACCGCATCTACTGGATTTGGCAGACGCTTCACCCACGTGAGGCGAACGAGGTGACCGGTACTTTGACTTTGTCGAACAAGCCTCCAACCCGCAACGCCACCATCGACGAGCCCTTGGTCTTGGGAGTCAACGGAAAGACTGTGAAGATTCGCGATGTGCTCAACACCCTTGGTGGTAGCCCTCTGTGCTATATTTACTTGTAAATAAGATCTGCTGTAATCTTAGGCTGTGGTTATCTGGCATTCGTAGTTGTTAATACTTGAGCTCGGCTGTATATACCCGCTGAATGTCCACCCGGTCGGTGGATCAAAACTAGGCGGGTATACCCACCAATCCTCAAAAGCAACCACGCAACCTTTCTCGTATACTACCTCTCGTCCCTGCATCTAACCATCTTGACCTACCGCATAGAGTAGGCATCGAAAGCAGGCGTCAAACGGTTATATTAAAACCTTCTCACGCCTCACCCACCATCTTCGGCAATACGTCGGAAATAACACTTCCCATCAACGTCCACTAAACTCGCGCATTGATCGCAGCACTCGATACGGCAATAACGGTGAAACAGCTTCATCCTCGCCGATATTCCTCTAAACAGTAACCATCGATTGCAGGCTCCAAAGCTTGGCCTCTTCAAAGTTACCCATTAAAGAAAACCGTAGATTGTAGATGCGGAGGCTTGGTAATGCCAACGGAGAAAAATTGGTTTGCTTGTTCTGCTTGCCCGTGGCTCACCGACTCGCACCCGCGGAAGGGAAGGTTACGCGGGAATAAGCAAACTTTTTTCCCTCTCTCGATGACGCGCCAACGACACGTCGATGTCGTCTTTTTTGCCAACGACGAGAAATTACTGGAACAGGTAGGCGTGGAAAGTAGGCGTTTGGCTTGTCAGACTTGGTGTAGCTTGGTCGTTCCTTAGGAAGTGGATGCGTTTACGGTGTTAGGTAGGTGTTGAAAGCAGGCGTACGAGAGCCTCATATTTTTCCGTTGGTGAGGCTGTAAAATGAGAAGTCACGTGTAATCGCTCATGCTCTGTTGATCGCCGTATGTGTCTTTTCGTGCGTATACACTTGTCAGGTTGTTGGCATTCTGAGTAGTCGCATCCAGGCACGATGGTAAAACGCGCAGCGTTGAGGGACACACAACTTCTACTTCTATACCAATCCATCCCCGTCTCTTCCGTCTCGCAACGAGCGTCAGCCTCACAAACCTCGCAGCGCGTCTCTGTGCTACCAATGTATCGCCATCGGCACCCTGCTTCAAATCCATCCAAACTAAACACGCCTCCGCAAGCGTACCAACGTCTCAAACACTAAAAAGCAACACCAAACATCGGTGTGTCACTTGGCCTACCCAGACAGGCAATCATGGAAAGTAGGCGTATTCCTTCGCTTCATCTTGCATGTGTTCAGATCTCGGTACAAATCTCCTAGGCGTGCAGAAAAGCAACCATCACTTGACAAGCGTATTCCTTCATACCCAAACATCTGGTGTTTTGTCCCAGTCAGGTAACTGTCGAAAACAGGCGCATTCCTTCGCTTTATCTTGCAGATTTCTGAAGACCTAATGCATACTAACATATCTTGAAAAGAAGTGCCAGTCGGGTCAGGTTAGGGCGAGTTCTGGAAGGAGCGGTGGGTTGATGGTTTGGGTAGTACATGTTACGTTTTGCGTGAACGTAGAAATTACCACATGTATTGCAAGCTTGCAGTCATTTGATGAATGGATTTCGAATCGAGATATCGTGCGAACGTGGCACTATGAACCAGAGGCAATGTTCTCTATAATCATACTCATCATATCCAAACGCCTACAAGGTTTCGACACGATTTCTTACATCGCGTCTCTCGGCTCACGACCTGCGTATCCCGTGAAGTAACTCCTGCGTATCCCGTGAAGTAACTCAAAACGTATTATTTGAATTTGAACTCATCGGTTCGTCTTTCAGTTTGGTACAGCATCCACCACATCATGTTGTTCAGTTGATGGATGTTGTACCAAACTGAAAGAAAACTGATCAGGTCCAAGCTACTCAGTGAAAGCTCGGTGATGAACAGCAGTGC